GCATATTCTGCTAATTTGACATGGAGAGGGGTTTTCATATGAATACAATCACACCTATAATCAATCTAATGTTGAACCTATCAAATTTTCTAGTTTGTTTTGATATATAAAACATTAGTTCACATTCACCAAGATTGAAGGAATCAATGACCAAAATACTATGTAAGTTATTTTTAGAGCCAAGTTATACTATCCCATCAAGGAAAAACTTGACTTCACACTCATCACCTTTGCAAAGTGACAATGGTCATATATTTTCAAGCCCATTTTGTTGGTTTGTCATTGATTATCATCTAAAATCAATCTTGTCAATGTTGCACATTTCTAAGTGATTTCTTAAATGGTTAAAGAAAGAAGCCATCACTTAAGATAGAGCGATATGGAAGTCAACCTGGCAACACATAATGGTCTAGCTAGAAAATTAGTTAGATTTTGAATTTGTTGAACCTCTATATTGTTATTACTTAATTTTTTATTTTCGAATGTCACATTACTCTTTTTTAAGCATATGAATCTATCATGAAGTATGATCATTGTCCTATAATTTTAACAAAAATCTTACTCAATAACCATAATCATTTATTGAGAAGATTGAATTAATATTGACATGAATTTTAATGTATTTTAAAACTTTTGGCCAATGTCATAGTCAATGAATAAATGATAAAAGTTAAATTGAATCCATCAAATAGTTTAGCTCTCACAAGTTTATAAGTCCTACTTGATGACTAAAACTAAAAGTGATAGAGTTTAGATTGATGCTCCAAGATTTTAATTATCTCTAATGCAACACATGAGACTGATGGTGAAGATTATGTACAATCCAATGGGAGTGTTGACATCATTTTTGATGAGGTTTAATTCTTTTCTTTAGAAGCTTAGAATATAGTCATAGGACTTTCTTGTTGACAATCTTAGAGGAATAATGATGGAACCTACCCCCATAGAAATTCTAAACACTTCTTGACTTTTTTGTGGAGTCCCACATGGGTGGAGACAAGTCCTCATCTATCACTTGAGATGGTTGTGAACAACATGTGAAGTCCCAAGAATGAGTTCCTATAAGATTATGAAGCCTTTGGACAACCCTAGGTGGCTTGGTCTTACACTCAACTCAAACTCCTTAGCACTTTGAAAACCATCCATTTACCTAAATTGACTTATCTCCCCTTGGAAGCCAAAAACACACTTCCTAACTCTTTTGAAGGCTCATGTGGTTGGTCCCAAGTCCCCAACCTTTGGCTAGGAGGACAAAGACCAACATATGGAGGCTCCAAAATGATTTCTCATAAGGACCATATAGCTTGAAGGAGGTTTTCACTTTCAATATCAGAAAAATTGAAGATAGGTTCTAGGTTATTTTCTTCGATAATAGCTACATATTTTACATGAATTATTTTACTTTTTGGGGGACATTTATTAGAGTAATGTCTTTCTTGTTTGCAAATCCAACATCTTATTTTGTTATTATCTTTATTATTAATCTTTTTTCTAGAAGTTCTTTTATTTGGATTGAAATGTTTATTTTGTATTTTCTTAAAGAATTTTTTCTTTTTATTTTTTGCAGGACAAGTGCATTTGCCATGAGAGGAGGAACAACCCTATTGTTAGGGTAAGTCATCTTTATTTTGGACATTAGTGCAAAATTATTCATGCAGAATAGGGTTAAAACTCGGGACATCACCCAAAATCAAAAATGTTTTAAATCATGTTTCATAATGCTGACCTTAAATAGTTGGGATAAGACTGATGATGATGATGAGTAGATTGCTTTCATTTTTTACCCAGCTTAATAGTCTTGAATTTATAACTCTTTATTTGAACATTGACATATCGTTGGTCTGTGCCATGGTTGTGGCTTTCTTTCTACGTACTGTTGAGATAGAGAGTAGCTCATTGGTTGAGCTAAGGTTTTGGCATTTTTTTTTTGACTATCAACCATGCATAGTTGTCATTTTAAAGCTGTTTATAGAATTTCAAAACACAAATGATATAATCCAGTAAAACTATCATTTTTCCAGACATTGTTTTATCTTTAAGCTATCTATCATCATAGAATACCATAGTAAAAAAATCATATATTATAATATTTTTTAAATAATTTAAGATAACAATCTCCATTGTTTGCTATAATAATATTTCTTTATGTATGACCTTAATTTTATTTTGGACTATTGTTCAAAGTATAAAATTGATTTTTGATACGATATTCATATATATATATAATCAAGTATATAAAGGATTTTAACATTTGATCTTTCTACATATTTATATTCATTACATGAAAGTCGAGCATTTCAACATAAAAAAAACACCCATATCTCTTTCTATTTCAAATGATAAAAGTAAATCATACATGATTATTGACTACTGTCCAAAACAATAAAAAAAATAAAAGACAGAGATCAAATATTTACAAAACAAATGACTTAACAACTGATAAAAAATAAAAAAAGGAAGTAAAATCTCATTTTTTGTAAGGCTTCATAGTAGACTCTAAACTTGTCCCGTAAACAGACAAGATTTAAGTTGAGGATCAACCACAAATTCATCCACTATCTCTTCTGGCACCACACACATTTCCATAGCTGACAACTTTTCTTGGACAACCATTGATCCCAACCAATGCTCTTCTTCCACACTTTTGCACGCCTACAAATTAACATCAATTTATAAATAATATATTTTATTAATCGCAATTGCAATATTTAATTAAAACTATTAAATTGTCAATTTGCATAGTTGACTCCCGATCGCCCAAGAAGCATAAATCATACTGCAATTGAATAATAGCAACAAATA